TAGTAAACAAACACCTATGAACCCACCGCATCGCAGAATCCTCCCTGTACCGCCCCGACTGTCCTCCACCACCTTTCTGCTTTTCTTTAGGGCGTATTCAAAAATAGCCTATATATGTGTGCAAAAATAGTTTGTTTAGTTTTCCTCACTAACTTTATAAAAATGATGTGCTACATTTATATCTAGGGTGTTCTCTGGTCCATACAAAACTAATTATCCTCAAGATACCGACCCATCCTTCCTCACTATTTCCTGAGATTTCCTGAAATGCCAAATCCAGAAAGTTTTGTATTTTGAGTGAGGCGATTACAATTCCATAATTAAATGGAGCGTCCCCTGAGATCAAAATTTAAAATTGATTAAATTGACTTTTTTACAGGTGTTTGGGTTGAACTGTGTCCCTTCAAATGATAGGTTTAAGACCTAACCTTCAGTACATGATTGTGACCTTATTTGGAAACAGGTTCTTGACAGGTGTAATCAAGTTTGGGTGAGGGCATACATGAATTACCTCAAAGCTGGAGGCTTAAACCACCACAGATTTATCTTTCACAATTCTGGACGCCAAAAATCTGAAATAAGTTTCATGAGGCTAACATCAAGGTGTCAGCAAGAATGGTTTCTTCTGGAGACTCCAGTAAAGAATCTGTTTCCTTCCTTTTCTAATTTCTGAAGACTAACTATATTCCTTAACTTTTAAAGGCTCTATCCTCCCCTTTCAAAGCCAGGTGCATGACATCTTCTATCTTTCTGACGCTGCTTCTCTCTGTTTCTGTCATCTCATGGCCATCTGTGACTCTGTCTCTCTTTTGCTTGTTAGTTCAGTTCATTAGATTCCACGTACGAGTAAAATCATGGGATTTATCTTTCTCTGACTGGCTTATTTCATTTAGCATAATGTTCTCCAGGTCCATCCATGAGGTTCCAAAGGGTTGAATTTTCTTTTTTATAGCCGAGTCGTATTCCATTGTGTAAATATCCCATAGTTGTTTTATCCACTCATCTACTGATAGACATTTGGGCTGCTCCCATATCTTGGCTATTGTAAATAATGTTGCAATGAACATAGGGGTGCATATAGTCTTTTGAATTGGTATTTCAGGTTTCTTTGGATTAACTCCCAGAAGTGAAATTGTTGGGTCATAAAAGTTCCACTTTTAATTTTCTTGAGTTGACTCCATACTGCTTTCCACAATGGCTAGACCAGTCTGCGTTCCCACTAGCAGTGCTCGAGGGTTCCCCTTTCTCCACGTCCTCACCAGCACTTGTTGTTGATTTATTGATAACCATTCTGGGAGGTGTGAGGTAAATCTCCCTGTGGTTTTAATTTGTGTTTCTCTGATGATTAACGGCATTGAGCACCTTTTCATATATCTATTGGCCATCCATATGTCCTCTTTAGAAAAGTGTCTATTCAGATCCTTTCCCCATTTTTAAATTAGATTGTTTGGGGGTTTTTGTTGTTGAATTTTATAAGTTCTTTATAAATTTTGGATATTAACTCCTTATCAGATGTATTGGTGAATATGTCCTCCCCTTCATTGGGTTGCCTTTTCATTTTGTTTTCCTTTGCTGTACAAAAACTTTTTAATGTACCCCCATTTATTTATTTTTTCTTTTGTGTCACTTGCCTGAGGAAATGTATCAGAAAGACATGTTGCTACAAGAAATGTCTGAGATTTTACTGCCTGTGTTTTCTTCTAGGATTTTCATGCTTTCAAGTTTAACATTTAAGTCTTTAATCCATTTTGAGTTTATTCTTGTATGTGGCATAAGAAGGTGATCTAGCTTCATTTTTTTGCATCTACCTGTCCAATTTTCACAACACCATTTTTTGAATAAACTATCTTTAGCCCATTGTATGTTTTTTCCTTTTTTGTCCAATATTGACTGTAAACATGTGAGTTTATTTCTAGGCTCTCTGTTTTGTTCTCTTGATCTCTATGTCTGTTTTTATGCCAGTACCATGCTATTTTGACTACTATGGCCTGGTAATATAGTTTGATATTAGTAAAAAAAAATTTTAAGAAAGTCATTTTCCTTTTATCACTTGCATTTCAAACTTATACCATTTCAACTGGTTCTTTCCTTATCAAGGTATAAAGATGCCCGGTTTATCCTATCAAAAAAGTTTCCCTAGAACTTTATCTTTTTTCTAACTGCCATAAAATTTGTTTCACATTTCCTTTTCTTTTTCAAGATTTCAAAATAAAAAAAAAATAAGGCTCTTTAGTAGATGGTCTATTTCCCTAACTTTACTATCTTGTTTTTTTAATTCATTACACACTGACTCTTGTGTAGATCCTCTTTTGAAACTATTTACCCCAACTATTGTTCTTCTAATTGCCGTATTAGGTCTGTATCCTTGATATCTGTGGTATTCAATAGCTTTGACAATCTTTTCCTATATACAAGTGTTTTCCTTGTTTTTGGTGGTGGTACACTTCCTGCTCTCTTAACTTTTTACTCTCCCTGGCTCTTTCTTACCTGATTCCATTTTATTCTAACCTGGACATAGAATTGTTAATGAAGCCTTTTTGCTCTCTTTCTCAAGTTTTTGTGTCCTCCCTTGGAGTCCTCACCCATTGTCACATCTATGCAAATAATTTCCATTATTGTATGCCCCTCCTCTCTCTAAAGTCAAATGATATTTTTCAAAATGCTTGCTGAGCAACCTACCAGAGCATCAAACCTCAAAAACAAACTAATCTAATCCCTAAAATCTTCCCCATTTCAGTTGTCCCTTTCCCATTAGTCTCGTAGACACCCAATATTAAAACCACAGTATGTTAGAACAGAATTTAAAGGTCAAATAGACCTGAATTTAGAGCCCAACTTCCCACTTAAATCCTGTATTACTTGGATTGGTATTAAATCTCTGTAAATTTTATTTTGTGTAAAATAGAAACAATACCTACTTTAAAAGGTGGTTATGCTTCTCAGGGTGCCTGGTCCACTTTGCTTTTTTCTGACTTCCACTTTCTCTACCATTAAACATTCAGATACCAAGTCCTATTTTTCTCTCCACTTAATTCCTAGACAATTGCAGTCAACTCTTAACATCTTATTTGCTCATTCAGTCTCTTACCAAATCTCAAACACCACTAGCCAATACTCCCTTCTCTGGACACATTACCCAGCTGTCCAAAAACCATCTAGGGCTTCCCATTCCCTACAGCAGCCACCTTTTCTTCATCTCCACAAGATTCACATGTGCAGCACATTCCAACCAATAACACTCCTCATTACACCACATACATTTTTTTAATTCATTTTCAATTATAATTGACATACAATGTTATTTTAGTTTGTTGTACAACATAGTGATTAGACATTTATGTAACTTATGAATAGACCATATACATTTTCATTTTCGCAGCAAGGGAAAGGGAAAATCAGAATCTCCCAGAGTAGAAGGTTGCTACAGATTGAATTATTGATGTCCCCCAAAATTATGTTTAAATCCTAACCCCCAATATAATGGCATTTGGAGGTTAGAAGTCTTGAGGTGAAACCCTCATGAATGAGATCATTGCCCTCATAGAAGAGACCCCAGAGATCCCCCCACCCTGACACCCAGCCTCACCCCTGCCTCAGCCATGTGAATGTGAGACCACAGCAACAAGACTGCCATCTGTGAACCAGGAAGCAGGTTCTGAGCAGACACCGAATTGTTGGTGCCTTGATCTTGGACTTCCCAGCCTCCAGAACTCTGAAAAATAAATTTCTGTTGTTTATAAGTCACCCAGTCTATGTTATCCTGTTATAATAGCCTAAATGGACTGAGGAAGTAGGGTAGGAGGATCATAGGGGTGGTATCTAAAAAACTACAAATCTATTAGTTGTTATTTGCATTATGTGACCTCTATGAATAAGAACCAAAATTAGGTCTTCATAAAATAAAATAAATACTGCATTTGGAAACTTACGAGTTTTTTTTCCTAATCATTTCATTATAGTCAACAACTGGCAGAAAAGGGGCCAGACATAAAGGAAACGTCAGTTTAGCTGATTCGCCTATTATCTTTTAACAATTAAATGGTTCTTATCACTCCTTGGAAGTGAAAAAGTGACATCAAAACTTATATAACCTGAAAAGGTATGCATCAATTTTTTCTCTTCCATCCTCCCTTCCTTCTAATAAATAAGCAAGTTTTGAAAGTCTGGTATGGGATATACCTGGTATAGAAAAACCACACAGTAAAGATCTGTTCTCATGGGAGCTCCAGTTTTGATGAGGAAAACAACAAAATAAGTAAAATATATAGAATTTTGATAATAATTAGGGCCATGCCGTACATAAAAAAAGTGTTCGGGATGGGAACCATTATAAATAAGGTGGTCAGAGAAGGTTTTACTAAGAAGGTAACATTTTATCAAAGTTGATTATTTCTGGGAGGAAGTGTCCCAGGTAAAGGAAACAGCTGGTAATGAAGTGAAGCCTTCATTATGCATCTTCAACAAATGCATAGCCAAGAGGCCAGTTGGGATAAAACAGGGAGAGTTAGGGAGGAAACAGTCTACAATGAGTAGTAGATCAGGAAAGTAACAATGTCTGTATGTGGGAGGTTGGTGCTGAATGACATTGGAATAATCTCAATGCTATCATGGTTAGAATGTTCAGTAGTTTAATCTGAGAGTAATTCAGCATCCTGACGTAAAATACTAGGATGATCTATTGAATTTTCAATGCCAATTTATCCACAGTAATGCCAATTGTAAGATCTCATTTTAGCTTTTCATTTCTTAAAGTGCTTGGAGCAAACAAATCTTTATAGACCTTAAAGTTATTTATATTGCAAAATGTATAATTTTTGTCCTGTCAAAATATTTTTGAACCCAGAATTTGACAGTAAATAAGTGTTGTCTTGTTAAACAAAAAACCTGAAATAAAGATATTAATAGGAAATAGTAAATTTATTATTTTATTAAAGTATATCAATACCTAGAAACAACAAAAGGTACATTATAAATATGGATACAAAACAAGTCAAGCTTCACTTGAGATAGAAAAGTTTGTTATTTTTAAAGTATATCAACAGAAACAACCATTAATTTAACTGTAAATGCCACTGTACATATTCCAAGAATATAAAACTTTAAAATCTGGTTTAAATTCTTAAATAACTACCGGGTAACTAAATATGCTCAGGATCCTTTGGGCAGAACAATCAACTATTTAGAGTTACCTGACAAAACTAAGTAATTCATTTTGCTACATTTCTGATTTTAAAATGTATTGTGGCTTTGCTTATAAAGGAATCAATTCATTGATTAACTCACTGGGTAAGATTGTAAGACAATATTCTGATTTTTACCTGCTACATTCAAGAATCTTTGGAGAAATTACCTTTTAAGGGGTACTTGCCATATACATTTAAACCACTTATGCTACTAACAATCAGGTGACAAGTTCACGTTTCCCCATCACCACTGAAATTATCAATCAGAATGGAAATATGTCCCCCATGTTACACAATGAATATTCATACTACATGAATGTGGTATATTCATACATTTCAGTCAAGGTTCAATAGGGAAGAAATGATGCACAAGTAAAACTGCAGTGACAGTTTTTAAATACTACATTCCATTTTATCTGAAATCTTTGAGTTAATATAAGGGTCTAAATTTTATCCAAAAGAATATAAGAAAAAGATTTCTCAGTTTTCAAAAATTTAAATATTTCTTCATTTTCAGTACAAACTATATGTCATCACAAGCCTATACTAAAGTGTAAAGTTAGCAAAATGTTTTTAAAATATTAACCAAGTAAATAGAATTGTATGATATTTTCCAGTCTTTTTTCTTCTCTTCTTTTTCAGGTTGCTAGGAAGGCTTTATATTTCTTTTCAATGTTTAAAAACAAAAGATATTTTCATTTCCTCTTTACTTTAAAAAGTTGTAGAAAAATCTATTTTAAAATAGAGGTAAACACACCTTGAAATATTTTCCCTTTCCCTCAAAACTGACTTACATTTGGTACACATTTTTTATATATAATATGGGAGATAAAGAATCATAATGATAAAATTCCTTTTTATAAATAACCAGTTATGACAGAGTGGCTTACATCCATGGGAAACACAATAAACATGCTAGATACTCATATAGATGACCAATCATTGCCTTACCATAGTATCCCTAATTTAAAAGACTGAATTACATTTATTGAGCTATTTTAGATATAGCAAACTATTATCATTTAAAATAAAATGAAATAGATGCTCAAAGCACTTCGGTAGATGATACAGAGGATATGATCTTGCACCATAACCAGGTAACTACAGGAAACACCTAAGCATACAAAATACAGACATAAGTAACATACTATCCATTATGAACAAGTTCTATTCAAGGCTTCATGTCACAACATTTAATGCCTGAAAACTGAACAGCACCTAGCAAAAGGAAATGTATTTAAATAAATGCTTTCACATGAATGGAAAACGTTCACCCTGCAAACCCTCAGCAATACTGACCTCAGAGACATTACATATCAACCTCGTATTTAAGATGATTCTGTCTGCCATTGTTAGCTTCAGACAACTGACTGTATGTTGATTACATTTATATTGCTTCTCAGCAGAAGCAACATTCATTGTTTAGCATGTGATGGCATCTTGTCAAGCTGTAAGTGATCTCGAGACATAATTTGCATTGATCACTTTTACTTTTTTGCTCCCAACAGCATAAGAAAGCCTGCTTCCACAAACATGCAGATGTGCTCGATGTGCACTTTCCACCTTACATATGGGGATATATTAGCTCTCTAGAATATGTAATTAAGAAGAGCTGACTTTCTTAATAATATCCAAATGGCAATGATATTTTCTAAGTCATGAAAGGTTACTTGAAAGCTATTAAATAAATCCTATCATAATTACTATATTAATTTTAAGTACACTTTATTTTGAACAAGTCAAAGAATACCTTTAAGCAAATTTATAATGTAGAGTTCAGCCTTGCCAATATGGAGATTTTTTTTTTAATTTTCTATTTTTTTATTATTGTTTATGCTGTTATAGTTGTTCCAGTTTTCCCCCCTTTACTCCCCTCTGCCTAGCCAGCCCTCACTGGAGACTTAATATTTTAAAATAAAACTATTCAAGGCCTCTGGTTAGAGATAAAATTGTAAATAATTTTAGGCTTTCTCATAATGTATTTAAAATTCCTTACAAAACCATAACCCTTCCTTCTTTAAAAATATGTTCTCTAGTATAATATTGAACTAGAAAACAGATCATTAAACAAATCACATCTAAAAAATGATTTTTTTGTATAAAATATTTTTCCACAGATCCAAGAAGATCAAAAAATTATGCCATAGGACCCAAAAACAGAACGCTAGGAACCCAGGATAAAAAGCATACACTGTAAGAGACTAGATCACCTAATTAAAGCACCATAAGCTCACAATAATGTAAGAGAGAAAATCTACACAAAAAGTTAAATCCAAGGAATATAATTAAATTTAAAAAAATCAAAATGAAAAATGAGTACATTTTCATAAAAGGACAGAAACACTTTTTGAATATTGTAACCACTACATAAATATTGTGTAAACCTTCACATTTTGGTTACCTCTTTTGGAAGGTTTAAGGTATTGGTTTTTAATCTTAAATTGTTTACCAAGAAATTTATCTCCCTCTTAAATAGTAAGTCAAGTAGCATTTCAAATTTTTTCCTTCATGGATACAGTAGCCGGAATAGAAAAGTACCAAAAGTCTTAATCAACTGATTTAATCTTTCCATTTTTAACATAGACTTTAAATTTAAAAATTTTTTCTTCTACATAAGTCAATTATTGGTAATACATTGTTATTCTCCCTTAGCAAATCAAAGAAGCATTTAATCACACATTATAATAACAAAGAAAATAATATAATTTTAAAAATTACTTATATACTAGCTCAGTACAATCAGTTGACCTCCATTTTCACTTGAAAAGAACAAGAAAAAAGGAAGTTTTTATTACTATACTCTATAAAAAAGGGGAAAGGTGGTTATAGAAGCCAACTCAGAAATTATTTGTCCTTCATCTATTAGAGTGTAACTCATGAACTGTTGTCCCTTTCTAATTCCTGTATTTTGTCACACTTATTGCTTTCTTTGCCCTCTTGATATGTACGAAGCTGCTCCATGAAACCAGCATTTGGACATATGGAAGGCCTTGCATCTTTCACCAAAGAAAAAGCACTGCTAAATGAGATTTCTTCAGAATTCATCAGGAAGCCTATTACAATTGCAGCTGCCCTGGAAACTCCTGCATTACAATGAACAAGAACTACTCCATCCTGCAATAAAATCAAACAAAACTCTTTATTATTAAGAAAAATTATTAAATCAATTTTACATTTTTATACTCTTAACAAAAATTATAAAATGATAATATTCACTCTATCAATTTATTCACTTCTCAAAGTACAATTCATTGTAAGGAAAGAATGGAAAAATCAATCAACCAACCAACCAATACCTCCTCTTTCCACCTCCTAAGATTGAAGTGCTTTGATGGTGTATTTGTAATTCTGAAACAGTATCCTTTGTTAAACTGAAGTAATCCAGTTAAGTACACATAAAAGCCTAATAACTTAGCTACATGTTTATAAATAAGAGAAAAATTACAGGAAATATAAGTGGAAACATGAAGAAAACCATAATCATAAACAGAAAGCCTGACACATTCTATCTACACATAGTGTTCCCATAGAGCTAATGTCATTAGCATGGAAATCTGAGTGTAAAATGATCAGCAAGGACAAAATTCCCTACCCTTAGAAATATCCTGGAGGGAAGTAACTTAAAAAAATACTTAAACTTATCAGGTAGTAAAATGATGACAGAAATAGCTTATGGAAATGTGAAGTGGAAAAGGTAATTAGACACCAGCATGAGGTCAATAAATGAATAACGTTTCAGGTAACTTGAAAATGATACTTTACAAGTGAAAAGGGACACAGTGTAAGACCAATGCTGATGGGGTAATATTGCATTAATAATGAATGTGATAGATCTGATGGAACACCAATGATACAGGTTGGCTTATTTCAGGCTTTTAAAAAGTTAATGATCTGAATGAAATGAAGTGACCTGTGAGCACACGCTACAAAACTAGGCATTTTAGTTACTTCATTTCCTAATTCTTCTTTTGGTACAACACAAAAGAAAGGTGGAAACAGGGGAAGAGGAAAACAACAAAACTTAGAACTAAAGACCCTCTACCTAAACCATGTATTAGCAATACTACGTTTATAGCCCATTGTATTATTTTACTTTTGCAAGGCAATTTTCTCAGATTCATAAATCTGCAAAATTCCTTTCGCAGATCTGTTTTAACAAATTTTCAAGTGCATCTCATTTCAAAAAACCAAATGATCCACAACAAAATTATCCTCATATCAAAAAGATAATTTCAATTGCTTTCAAATATATACATACATATATTTGCGTTATTTCCAGTTATTAACTTTCTGTACAGGAAAAGAAAAACACAAATATTCACTATACACACACACACACACACACAACCTTTTCTCACTTTGTACAGTAGTTCATTTTTATGAGACTGAAGACATTTTAAAATCATAGTACAATAACTGATGAAAACTATTAATTAACTTCTTTAACTCAAAACAATTAGACATTTCAAAGAAAGTTAGAATCATAAAGCTTAATGAAAGATGCCCTTCAGGGTCATTTTTAATATTTCTGACTATATACTAGTCATCTTTATTTTATGATCCACACCTATGCCTTTGAAAATGAAACTAGCTTTACTTTCCGTCTTATATGCTATACATCCAGTTTCAGCTAAGGTTTAATAATGTTAGTATGCTCTTCTCTCTTAGATGTTTCATGTAACTCCTACCTCTCTATTGGTTTACACAGCTGTTATATTTACCTATTTACCTTTTATCATTCCTTGGGTATGATAGAGTCCTTGAAAGTATTTCCACAAAAATTATTGGCTTTCTATCCCCTTTACAGAATTCAAAATATTGACAAATAATTTATAAAACAATTTTTTCCTCCTGTACTTGCTGTTATCCTCTGCCTGGAAGCCTTTGCTGCTCCTCCTAGTCCAGCTAACTCTAGCCTCTGCTCTGAGAAGCCTGCCTCTCTCTGAATGAGATGAGGGCACAGAACTATCTTAGCCTAGGTATCTCTGTATGTCTAGAACTTAGTGCAATTTTTGGCACATAGTAGAAACACTCCACAAATGTGTGCTGAGTAAATAAATTAATATTGTTCTGCATTCCTGAAAAGAAAGGAATCTCTAAAAAATTCACATCACCAATTTGCTATGGACAGTAATTAGGTTACAGTATTTCCATTTTATCAAGCTTGCTTTCTTCTTATGTTGTTGAATAGCTTGTCAACTAGATTGCTGTTATGAATAGCTCATCAACTAGATTGCAAACTCCTTGAAGACAGCAATATATATCCATCACATCCCCTCAGAATAAGTAATTAATACTTGTTAACAGATTAACTGTGCCAAGTTCAAGTCTTTTGTAAATGAGTCTTTTGATATACAGAAAAATATATCAAAATGTTAACAGTGGTTATGTCTAAATTTTGGGAATAGGGTTATCTGTATTTTCTAATGCTTCTACGATGATATGGATTACTTACATTATGTTTTTAAAATCAAACCAAATAAATAATAAACAGAATATCAAATACACATTTTCATACTAACAAAACATTTCACACATTAAAAATGGGGGCACATACATTTTCCAAAGAAAACTCGAGGCTATTGGGGTTACCTTACCATGTCCCTTTCATGTGTATTTCTGTCCATTTAGGCATAAACCTGACAAATAATGCATGAGGTGGAGAGAGAGGAAGGACAGAAAAACAGGGCTGTATAAGCAGAGAGAGAAATGAAGAAAGACATCGAAAATCGAACATACTCCATTTGTCCCCCAAAACCAGCAAACTAGGGCCTACCAAGGTCATCTTGAAACATACGATTTAATAATATTTGCATATACAATAGACAAAGTCATAACGAAGGCTTGTCTAGAAAAAAATGGATGAAGACAACTCAATAATCCTATTGCTAAAAACAAGTATGTATTAATCTAAACACTAAGAGTTTCAGGACAAGAAAAGATTGGCTGAGGTTAGGATACCAATATAAAACAAAAGGCTTGACAAATGGGGACAGACTGTGGAATTCTAATACAACTTGCAGCAGAAATGTTTTATGCACCTCCTCAGATTTTCTTGGTGCCATCATCTCATGCACACTAAACTGGCTCCACCTCAGCCATCACCTCTGTGGCCAACAGCTCCTTTTAGGCCTACTGAGTTTTGCTTCTCTAAAAAGTCCTGGCTCTTTCCCAGCAGTGTTCCCTGCATAGGGAGGTACACCCTGAGTTCTGGATTCTCTTGCTGCTTCTAAACTTGGCTGGAAAGTCACACCACAGGGCACTGGGTTTGGCTTCAAGGTGGCTGCTGAAGCAGTCAAGTGCTGTACCCTGGAATTGTGGGGATAGTCATTTCCCCATGGGTAAACTTTGACCAATCGGGAACAGGAGCTGACAGACAGCCAGGCAGATAAATTCTCTCTTCCCTCCCTCCCAAATTCTGTATTGAGGTTTCTTTGTGTTCCTGCCCAGAGGTCTCCTGGGTGGTGGAGCAGGTGCACCCAGCTATGTCACCGTCAGTTCACTGCTAGGTTGTACTTAGAGAGTCAACATATCACCGTATGTTGCTTCTCATCCTTCCCTGAATCACTCCCTTGCCTTCTCACTCTCACTGCCTAGAGATTGTGCCTCTCAAATGAAGCATCAGCTCTTAATCCTTGTCTCAGGAGATCCAAGCAAAGGACCATTTTAATTAACTATTACCCTTTCCACTTTTGACTTGCAACATGTACATATCTTCTAATATGAATACAAATGCTATCTACACTTTTCCTTTACCATCTTAAAGCATAGTCTGCCCCTCTGTACAGAAACAGCTAATACAGGGACATTGTCATTTTTATTTTTAACATTACTAGCACCCTGGAATGTTACAATCTAGAGATTATTAAATTTTTCACAAAGAAAAGACTGGCAAATATTAGGTTTTGAATTATAATACCTCTTCCTTTTATTTCATCCAAATATCTGCTATTGAATCAAGTTGAATGGTAAGGTTGAATAGCTTTGTATTTTCAGTGTAATCTAGAAAAGGCACCTAGAGCAGTGCTGGGCACACACAGCACTGAGTAAATACCACTAAAGAAAAGAGAGAGAAAGGAAGGGAGAAATGGAAGGAGAGAGGCAGAGGGAGATCATTAGAATTCAATTAAACTGGATTCTAATGTGAACTGTCATTAATTGTTAGGTGTTCGTGGAGAGTTAACTTTTCTCTGTAAGTGCTTCTACATTCACATCTATCTATCTCACATAAATTTTGTGTAAGAACTATATGCTGATTTAAAATGATGTCATTTTAAGGTATAATTATGGGTAACAGCCAAACTAGAAGCCCAGTTTGTCAGTGTGTTCACTTGGATCCAGTACCAAGATCGAAGTATTTCTCTGTCAGTTGGTCTTCTAAAGTAAGAAAACCCACTGGATAGTTTCTTATCAGCATTTTAATACAGTCTCAGTAAAGCAATACCCATTTAGCCCCTGGAGCACCCTAAAATTCTATTGTAAAAAATGCACAGATTCACAACCCCTTCCTCACTGGCCACAAAAATAAATGCATATTAATGTTCATAAATACATTAATAGGACTACAGCAAACCTCTATCCTATAGTCCACTTGATTATCTTGCAAACTGGTCAGTGGGCAAGCAGTTATAAACTGTCAAAGGAAATCTAGGTACACAGGCATAAGGAAAAGGAAAAATTAATTTAAAAAATAAATATCTCATTGAGAAAAGAGCAATTAAAGAACTACATAGCTGTAGGAATTAATAAAATATTGTTGGAATGGAAATTTCAGAATGGTGCTCTACATAGTCATTAAAAAAGAATAAAGATTGGATAATGGACTCATTTTTAAATTTCTGCTTTTGAAGAACTATGGATCAAAACAAAACTTACCTTCATTTTTGCTTGTTCAATAAATTCAAAACATTCTGGAAAATAAGACAGGATATCGGTTTCAGGTATATCCAGTATAGAAATGCTTTTATATATAAAGTCACTGAGGAAGGCATTTTCAACTCCATATGCAACATTGAGAATATGAGTCACCTTAAAGAGAAAAAAAGGTTAAAAAAAATTCTCATGAATTAGGTTCATTAAAAAGAGGCTGGGATGTTGAGATCTGCAACAAGAATAAACAATTTAAGCATGACATACTTGAATAATGCTTCCTCAAGGAAGCCTTATCTGACTGCCTCTTCTCTCACCAACGTGCTATTTCTATATATTTCCAAATATTTGTCCTATTATAGCCCTTAACACTTACAGATTGTGTCCTTCACCATATTAGAAACTCCATGAGGGTACAGACCATGTTTAGCTTACTCACTATTATCAGTAAGCATTGTGAATGAGCAGTGACTTTGGCACATAAAGTACTTAAAATATTTGTTGAATAAACCAATGAATGTCCATATAAAAAACTTAACTAAGGGAAGTGCACCTGCAGCACAAACTTCCCTTTCAATAATTATTTCTTCTTCGTAAGTACATGTTTCTCCAGAGTGGCTGCACATTAGAATCACCTGGTAAGCTTTTAAAAAATTTCAGTGCCTGATGAATTAGTGTGGGTGAAAGATAGGGTGGTCATGAAAGATTTTCTTTCAAATGGTGCACATAAGCAACCTCCTATTCCATGTATGCATTCCACCCCCTCTTCTAGAGCCAACCAAGCATATATGGAAGGAGCCTCATAAAGTCCACTGAGAGAATCCGAAATAAACAAGAAAACTGAGTCACTGTTTCTTGTCATAACATGTTTCTCGCTGTATGTATTCTTTCTCAGAGAACATCTTTGTTTTTTTTGGGGGGGGGGTACTTTTAATATTAAGTTTTTGCCTGATCTTGGTATTTTCATGTACTTCACACATATTGTAAAGGATTTGTCCAGACCTGCCTCTGTTGCCCTGACTACCCTCGCAGGTATGGCTCTGGACGTGCCCCATTCCTCCCTCCAGCACAGCTGACTGGATTCTGGTGGGTACATGACTTAAGCTAGGCTGATTGGATTAGCTTTAAATAGATGCAAAAGACAGCTAGAATGATCCACAAATTTGAGATATTTAAGACAGCCATGTTCTCTCCAGTGCTCAGGGAAGCTGAAAATTCCTGCTTCCAAAGGAGAAGAACAGAGTAGATACACAGAGAGGGGCCATGATGCCAGTGGATGGAAGAGCCATCTAGAATGGCCTTCTATTCCCTGGCATGACCATGCTCTGCCCTTGGGCTCCAAAGATCCCCCTAAATCATCACACACATTCTTTTCCTTGCTTAGGTCTCTGTGGTTCACAACCAAAAGCATATTAAGAAACTCAGGAAGCAAGGCTTCATAAAGAGCACCATAGCCCATTTACTAACCCAACTGCCTTGTGGAAGACAACAGAACCTCAAACATCTGCTCCAGAGACACTCTCAGATAGAGAGATGGGAGAAACTAGAAAGAAGGAAGGACATTTTTAGAAGATAAAGTCTGAAATGTCCTTCTGCTTTACTCTCTCATTCCCAGTGTCCTTCTGGCCAGGATTATATGATTCTACCCTTAATTACATAATATCTTCAATGTTTTATAATACTGATGTGTTTGCTTTCTCTTTACAACTGTATTCTATATTCCCAAAAGACCAGGAATGAGGTCTGACCACTTTCAAAATATATATGTATACAAAATATATATGTACATATATTGTATATTACATTTATATCATATATATCATTACCTATATATCTTGCCTATACATCACAGGATTATGGAGGACAAATGAGAATCTTGGGAAAACCTGTTGAAAGGTAAAAGTGCATTACAAATATTGTGGATTATTAAACCAATGCCTGGGTAGTTTAGCTGTTTGGAGCTGCTATTTTTACATATACTGATTGAATGGTCTTGACTGAAAAGAACAGTACTGAGTCACAGATGGCGATGCTGAAAGGGACCCAGCCTAAAGCCCTTCCAGTGATCAAGCATACTTTCGAAGTGCAGGTACAGAGGTCCTAACAATGGTTGCCTTTGGGGTGCTCTTTATAATAAGAATAATAAGAATAGCCCCTTTACTGAGTACTTATTAAATGCTAGGATTGCAGTTTATCTCACTTAAGCCTCATATTTATCATTTCCAACTTTAATACAATTTTATTTTTAAACTGGTTCAAAAATACATTATAAAAAAAGAAACAGTAAGAATTCTTGTTCTCACCGTGTCCCTATCCATTCCATTATCTCCCACACTAATGACAAATACAACCTCCTTTCCTGGTTTCTAGTATTCTTTTAGAGTATCTTTATGTAAATGTTTTATTTACTCTCTTTCTTACACAAAGGCAACACCTTGTCCCATTTAGATGCATCCTAGGGATCTTTTCATAACAGTAGTTAGAGGCTCTTTTTTTGCATTCCCTCTATAGCTATTTGGTATTCTATGATGTGGGTGCACTGTTGTTCATGTAAACAATTCCCTATTGATGGACACACGGTTTGTTTTCAATAATATGCTATTATAAACAGTTCTGCAATAAGTAACTTGGAACATTTTATGTTCTACTCAGTTTTCTATCCTCCATAGGACTTTATCCGGCAAACACCAGGCACTCAAGGAGTACCTTATTAACAAAGCAATCATTATTACCACATCTAAACACTAAAATAAAATTCCTATCGAAATTTCTGAAGTGATCCTCCTCAAGATAATTTTTCCTAGTTACAGCACTTTACTTACATGTTAGCATATCCCTTTGAAATGTGCTATGTATTTAAATCAGTAAGTTTGTTTTGCAGCATCCTTAAATTTTTCTAGAAACCGTCTGTTCATCTACTCAGTTTACCAGTACTACTTCCAGGAATTTAACAGGTCATGTGCACAAAGAAGGATCTTTTAAACAGCTCCGTGGTTCACATCAACAGAATGAAACCAAATTTGAGCTAGTGTATCATAAGAGGGAATAAATAATAACAATACTTGCCAATGAACAAATTTATCAGTTTTTCTATTTTTCATTTTTACCCTGAGAAATTATTTTTTATTTTGAGGAAGGAATTATTCTGACAAGGTGAGTCCAGTTTAAGCACAAGTAAGTTGACAATTAAACATATCAAATTATGTAATAAATTGGTTAGTAGTTATTTCCTTGGAGAAACTAATTACAAGTGTTTATCACAAAATTTTCAGCCTCAGTTCAATCAAATTTTTTCCTCAGAGCTTAGGGCAACAAAAATAAGTAGGACAAGGTCTCTATCTTCTAGATATTTGCTGAATCATAGAGGAGGGAAAAACATGTTTACTGAGGATAATATCATAGTACAAAGCAGAGGTGTGAAGAGCTATAGAACAAAATGTTATGGGCCAGAAGGGAGGAAGAGGTTACTTAACTTGTCCCCTGCTGTAAGCCTTCACATTTGCTATTCTCTCAGCTTGAAGGCCGACTCTGTCAAAAGGTCTCAAGTGAAATACAACAACCTCAGAAAGGCCTCCCTTGACTCATGTTGCCGCCCCTAATCCTCAAATGGCCTTGTCTGAATTCCTTCAGAAAGTATATTATCATCTCAAAGTATCGTATTTTAAGAGTACGGATCCTACTCCTTGTTCATTTCTAGAGCCCCTGAACCTAGAGAGGTGCCTAGCACTCATTTACCTCATGGGTGAGAGGAAGGGTGGCATTCTTTTGACTACTCCCTGCCTCTTCCAAATCACTTCTGTTCCACCCTCCAGTAAAAATGCTTGCTTTCTGAGGTTCAGACAAACTGTTTTTATTTTTGGGGCACCTCTGAGTTGGCTGAATCCCATCCCAAATCCTATCATTATCCTGGGTGATAGGAATTTCCACTTGGGTTTAACAGTTTTCAATGACTTTCCTCATCACTCCACTTCAATTACATTCCTTCAAGGCCAATGCCCAAAAGTGCTCCAGGTTTGATATAATAAATTCAAACATCCAACTCTGATTTTTCCAGCTCTTTTATTCAGTTACTCCTATTAGACCTCACAAGAAACATTAGCTCCTTTGTCTTCTGTTTCTTCTTATCCATTGGCCCCCTCTTGCCTTTACTTCCTTTTTTATTTAGCTATTACTCCATGTTCCACCTCCCCTGTACCTGTCTGGTAAAAGCTGACTGTATATCCAGACTGCTAAGCAGTGCTGGAGAAAAGTCACACAATATTGCAGATCATAAATTTATGAGAGCCAACCTCATAAATGCTTAGCAACTATATTTCCCTAGCAGGCTCTCTCCTTCATTCTCCCCATCAGCTTTTCCAAAATATCCCCACTCTCCTAATAACTTCCAACCCTACTATCTCTTCTTTTCTCCAGCAGATCACCTCACTATTTTAGTATAAAGAGAAGCCATCACATAAGAACCCTCATATTTACCATCAAATTTAATAATCTTGACTACACCCGCACCCACATTTTCTTTCTGCCTTCTTACTACCATGGATGATGTGGTCCTACACCCTTTATAAGCCTCATTCTGGCTCCTGTGTTTGGGGTCAAACTGCCTACTACTTTTGTGGCGCATCCCTCCTGCCACAGTTCTTGCTCTATTTTTAATCCCTTCCTCTACCACCAATTCTAAAGCATGCTCAAAACTAAAATAATCTATCTCCCTCCCTTTGCTGTTCCCATTGTCCTTTCCTACTTTTTTTTTTTTTTTGCTGCCACCATTTCTTCAATTCCTCAATCACCTGATCACTGGCTTTAGTGTCCAATTCAAATGAAACTTTCCACCAAAATTACTAACAACTTCACTAACAACTTCTTTGTTGCAAAATCCAATGGATGTAATTTAGTGCTAATTGTACTTAAACTTCTGGCAGTATCTGACTCTGCTGACTCTCCACTCCTTAAAACACTCACCTTTGGCTCCCATTACACCACAATTTTTTGACTTTCCTATGATCTCTGAACTACACCTTTCTGGCTGCAAATTCTTCTCCCTTTGACCGTTCCTTATAGTTTGGAATTACCCAGGGTTCTGTTGTAGGCCTTCTTCTCCTTTCACTTTATCCCCTTCCCCAGGCAATTTTATCTATTCCAATGATTCCAATCACTGCTTATATGCTGAAGGTTCCTAAACTTCTATTTTTACCTCTCACCTGAACTTCAGACCCCATATATCAACATTGTCTACTGAATAACTTAATCTAGATTATCCATAGCATCTGAAATATGTTCAAAACTGAGCTCTTTGTTTTCTCTCCAAAACCTGCTCCTCCCTATTTTATGGAATGGTACCAACCCTAGTTATCCAAGAGAGCAAGATATCAGCTTCAACTTCTCCTCCCTCAAACTCGCTCTCCCCTCACCCTGATCTGTAGGTAATTGTTAAATTGTGAGGATTCCACCCTCTAAAAAAAAAAACACACAACTCATTGACTTATTTCTACTCCCATTGAATTTGAATCTATACTATCATCTTTTCTCATTTCTTTAGATTACTGCAAGACTTTTAACTAGTCTCCCATCTCTAGCTTGAAGAACCTTCCAATCTATTTTCCACACTGCCTCTAGTGAACAGCCTCTCTAAAATGCAAATTTGATCCCTGGGTAAAACCTTTCAGTGGCTTTCCACTGTCTTTTGGCCCAAATCCAAACACTTTACTCTAGCTTACATAGATTTTTGTGATCTGGCTCATGTTTACCTCTAGCCTTGCCTCTTGGTACCCTTCTTTCTCACATTGTCTATATCAGGGTTACTGAACTTCTTTTCTATCCCTGAAAACTTCAACCTTTCCCTCACCTATGGGTCCTCACACAGACCATTTCTTCTATACTCATGCTCCTTCTCCATCTCCTTTCAGAGCAAAACTTCAACGTCATTTGCTCCAGGAAGAATTCTGTCCTTCCTATCCCCAACCCAACCTGACCAAACCCAAAGCAAACACAGATTAAGGGCATTATCTCCTATGCACTTCAGTGGCAACCTGCACTTCCTCATCAAAGCACACAGTGCACTATTTGTCTTTCTCCCCTCTGTGCCCCTCAAATCGTAAGTGTCATATGAACAAGAACCTCTTGCATTCCTCAAACCATAGCAATTCCATGACTCTGAAATAGCCCTTGTTAAAACAGTAGGTGGCTAGAAAAAAATTTTTTAATAAATATTGAAAGTAATAAATCACATCAGTTGTATGGGGGAGGGTGGGAGGAAGTGGCATTGGGGAAGAAGTGGTATATGAGTGAGTTGAGACTCAAGGCCTGGGTAGGTCTTGGTCAAGAAAAGGGGAAAATCTGTATCACACAGAGGAATTACCGAAGCAGAGGCAAGAAGACTTTGTGCCTTCAAAGTCAGGTTCATGAGGATATATGAAGGAAGACTGAGAGAACATAAAACTGGAGATGGATTACAAATCCACATATTTGATTTAGGAGTAATAATTTTTGCAACTTTATTAAAATGACAGCCCAAGATGTTACCGATTAAACTCTGAAATGGACCAATACAGCTTTTCCTAAATAAATATAACAATAAATGTAACTTTTTCTACATGGTGCCAGACCTGAAATTTTTATTTTTTACCTTGTGTTTTTTCAGTGTATCCAGATCATGAGCAGCATCTTGTGAGCCTGTAAGAAATAAATCACATCACCTTGAAAACAAAAATAATCATCCTGACTTTTTATCCAATTTTTGCAACAATTCTGTTAGTTACTCATGTCTTAAAAAATACAACTTGGGAGTACCTCATTCTAACTTCCTGAAAGATAATTTGGTAATAAGTATAAAATTTCATCTTGTATATACTCTTGGACTATGATATCCCACTTTGGGAATTTGTACTAAAAGTTCTGGATGTTACAAAGATCAGCAATCAGGATGTTCATCATAGTACTGTTTGTAATACCACAAAAATAAAACAACTTAATAATAGGTTGTTTTTAATCTTGTTAAAAAACAAAGCCCAATAATAGATGTTGGGCTAAATATAAGATGGTCCAATTGTGTAATGAAATATATAGCTATTAGAAGTGATAAATGTAGAAGAATATTTAGAGTATGGTAACATATTCCCAATATATTAGGTGATAAAAGTAGGTTACAAAATACCATCATCCATTTTTGTAATAACAAAAATAATGTGTACGCTTAAAATTGACAGGAAGTATATAGAACAACATGTTAACTATGTGATTACAGGTGATTTTTTTTCTTCTTCATGCTCATTTGTATTTTTTACAATAGCTATTTGTTTTGAAACTTAAAAAATAGTATTTTTAAAGACAGTGCCAGCTGGTTTGGGAACACCCAGAAAGACTTAGTACCAGCTTGTTGGGAAACACCCAGTAGATTAAAGCAAACACTGTTGGTCTATAGAATTCCACCCACATTCTGTGCACCAGTAGGGCTGTACCCTTCAACAGTTTCTGTCAAAGTTGGCTTTCCAGATTTCCCACACTTGGAAGATGATTCTAGTTAATCAGCAAGTTCTTACAAGTGTATAGTTAAAATAAAGTGAATTCTACAATGGGAAAAATAGGCTATTTATTATTCAAGTATTCTACTTTCCTGAATTAGGTTCTATTTCCATAAACAATGTCCTTCTTACCTTACCTATCTGGGAAATCTGCCAGCTTCTACGACATGATTTTAGGTAGCTGAAAGGCCAGTAAGTGTGCTGGTTGGTTAATATTCTCTTGATAATACAAAGCTCACAGACTCCTCACTGAGCTTACATTCAACTTTACTCTGTCCAAAAGTTAGCCTATCAAAATATTACCATTTGTTAAAGCTGAATAGTGGACACATAATTGTCTGTTACAGTAATGTCTGGAATTTTCTATGCATTTGAAATACTCCATAATTTTATTTTATTTTAAAGATTTTATTTATTTTTAGAGAAAGGGAAGAGAGGGAGAAAGAGATGTAGAGAAACATCAGTGTGAGAGAGAAACATTGATCAGTTGCTTCTCCTATGCACCCCAATGGGGGACCAAACCTGCAACCCAGGCATTTGCCCTGACTAGGAATCGAACCAACGACCTTTCACTTTGTGGGGAACTATGCACAACCAACTGAGCTGCACTGGCCAGGACAATACTCCATAATTTTAAAAAATTTCTCAATTTACTATCAAAAGTGCTAAACATCTCTGGGGTGGCTGGGGAATTTGATCAAAAGACTTAATTGAAATTTGGTGGTTTCATATGTACTCATCATTTAAATAATAATTCTACTCTTTCTAGTCCTTAAAATTTTAAAAAATCTATTAATAAAATTCTTTCCTTTACCCTACCAGGGGTGTCCAGCCTGCAGCCTGCAGGCCACATGTGTCCCAGGGTGGCTATGAATGCAGCCCAATACAAAACTGTAAATTTACTTAAAACATTATGAGATTTTTTTGTGATTACATGGTGCAATGTATTCAATGTGTGTCCCAAGACAACTCTTCTTCCGGTGTGGCCCAGATGCCAAAAGGCTGGACACCCCTGCAACCATTACTATACTTTGATCATTTTTATTAAACACATACAGACATGCACACGCCAAAAGAACAGGTCTATTATATTTCAGAGTTAGCTGCCATATTTTGAAGGTGACTTCCAGAGTATGAGTAAGTTGATACAAATTTAATATTCTTGAGACCAAAAAATGCAGACTTGTATGCTCTGTCTTTTCAAACAATAAGAAAATTACAGTGTTAATAGTATGGAGGAACAAAATTTTAGTTAACATAAATGGACTTCGGTAATCAGTTTGTGTGTTTCATCTAATATTTCATAGTATTCAGTTCAAGTTAATTCTCTCTAAATTCTAGATATAAACATCAGTTTTATTCCAATTTTAAATGGGTGCTTTGTGTTGCAGTCTTGTATTAAACTTTTATTGGTAAAACATTTATCATTTCAAGAAATAAACACAAAATCACATTATGACATGTTATTAAAACCTCTGTTTTGTTAAAGTAGTATGCTATCCTTTTATAGACCATCTTAATCAAGATTTAAAAATAAATGTCAAATTTGCCCTGGCCAGGTATTTCAGTTGGTTGGAGTGTTGTCCTGGTATGTCAGGGTTGTGGGTTCAATCCCCAGTCAGAACACATACAAGACTAAACCAATGAATGCATAAATAAGTGAAACAATAAATCAATGTCTAGCTCTCTTACAAATCAATAAATAAAAACTAAAAAAGAATAAAAACAAATGTCAATTTTAAGAATTTGATAATTTTAATGGTGGCTACATGAATCTATACTTGGGTTAAGTCATAGAACTGAATACTAAGTCAATTTAACTGTATGACAAATTTTTAAATAATAAAAAAGAAGTTGAATAGGATTAGAACTAAACAAAGAAGTCTAATAATAATAATTATAGTTATATTGTACATTGTCACAAATTACTAATATTCATTATCTTGGCCAAGTTCTGTTATAAAACTATTACAGATGAGATAACCGATTTAGAAGTAATCAGGGGTAGGCAAAAGTAGGTTTGTAGTTGTAATACTAATAAATAATAATACAAAAAAACTCTTGTTTTGTATATTCACAACTGTAAACTTACTTTTGCCCACCCCTGCATATATTACATGCTATTGGAGTTGAGACTTCAAACAAGTTCAGTGGTTTACAATCATAATATATGTAGTATAAAAAACGGACTACATAAGATCCCCAGAATCCTGTTTCTGATCTTTGAGATTTTTTTAAATGAAAATACCAAATATTATATAAATTCTGATATATCTTAATTTATAAGTCACTTTTCACCTCACAAAATCAAACCAAAAGACTTTATTACATCACTAAAAAGAAAAATAAGTGATATTCCAAAAAGAAATATTTTATCTGATAAAATTGTTAGGAATGGAAATTCAAAAATGGACAGAAATAGGAGTATAATAGGATAAGGTAACAATATTTGTGAAATGATTTTACAAAAATAAAAACAAATTTAACATATTATCTGTCCCTTAAGAACATTGGGCTTCCTAGATCTTAAGACATCCACTATCATCTCATAAAGATCCAAGCTTTTCACCTAGAATTAAGAGAAGATCTCAAAATGTTACCAGCTGGGACTTCTAAACAGAGTGAAGATAACAAATAATAAGTGCACCATTTAACTACTTAAGAAAAATGGAATTTTCTACTTTTACAAATCAAGGTCGACTGAAGAAAAGTCCTGGTGACTTTTGTTGTAAAAATGTAATTTGCAAAAAAAACCTAGGACAAAAATGCTCACTAAGATCTTTTAGCAACCCGTTAGATAGTTCAAGGGCCTATGTAGGGTTTTTGAAAGGCAGAAGCTTGTTCGAATTTATAAACTTAAAAAAAATTATATTTTAAAAGACAGAATACATTAAAAATAGATTTTTAAAAGATTATATTTTATATAAATATATTACATTTAGCTGTCAATTTTCTTTATTCCCCAACAAAACCATAAGTTAACTGGCATGCAGTGCTGGGTTGGAGTTGTGCTTCTTCAAAGAAGTGAAGGAAGCTCTTGGAAGCAACCTAGAAACAACCCCCATCTCCAGAAAGAAACCTAGTCTGGTCAGAAACAACCCCTGCATCATTCATGTGGAAGAACTTTAGATGTAATCATCCAAGGGTCCCTAAAGAATAAGGCACTTGTAACTAGCCCGGAAAAGGTTCATCTTCCTCTCCGAAGAAAGGAGGTGTGCCTGTTGAGAATATTCCATCTCCTGGTGCAAAGAAGGGACCAAATAAGGACTAGTTTCACAAACTCCTCCCTGAACTCTCCTAGGATCCTGGGAAGGCTACCAATGCTAACTCGAAAATACTGCCTTGATCAACTCACTTTGGATAAGTCTAAATCAGCAATTTTCAACCTTCTTAATCTCAAGGAACACACGAATTAATTACTAAAATTCTGCAGCACACCAAAAAATATATTTTGTGCCTGACAAAAAAAATAGGTATGATTTTGATTCATTCACACCAACTGACTATTGTTTTGTTGGCTAGTGTTATTTTTTTATTTGACAATCTAAAGGAAAGGAGATCAGTATCCCTGACTAAATAGTCAGGTAGTCCATGTTTTAAAAATTCTTGCAGCACACCAGCGTGTCTGCTATGACACACCAGTTGAAGATCACTGGTCTAGGTAAAATAATAATAATAATAATAATAAACAAAATTTTAAATTCTACAATAATTTTAAACCATGGTTACTACAATGGAAACCAAATAACTGAAAAATGTGCCTGGATATATTTCCTTTCCTAGAAATGGTATGCAAGTCCTGGGTGAAACTTTTGGACTAGGTAGATGGCCCACTTAATTTTTCACTGGGCTGCAGGAACTAGTCGGAGATACTTGGTGAATTTGAAGATAGCTCACGTAGCAATTCATATAATACACAATACAGTAACAAATATATATATTGCAATTGATTTGTCTCAAAAACCTTTCACAAAAGAAAATAAAACTTTTACAACAACCTCAGAACAACCTTATGACATAAGCAGATACTGTTACTTCAGCTTTACAGATGGCTTTTAGGAGGACCAGAGAGTAATAAAAGTCTTGCACTAGCTCATCTAATAAGTTAGAGGCATAGCAGCGCTGAAAACCTGGACTCCCTGAGACAGTCTATATATCCATGGAGGACAGGAGTTGATCAGACTTGAGCTTGATGTCCAGCTGTTATTTACTAGGTATGAGCAAGTTTACTTAACCATGAGCAAGTTACTCACCAATCTTAAATCCGGTTCTCATGAGTAAAATGGAGCTGATAATCCCTACTTCACAGAGTTTTTAAAAGAAGTGAGAGGCTGTGTGCACTTCACACAGTACCTGGCTATTTCTGATTCCCAGTCCAGACTTGGCTGCATAAATATTGACAAATTATTAATATTTCCAGTCTTAATTTTCTCTATTTGTAAATGAAACATTTCAAACTAACTTGAAAACATTGCTGACTATTTTTTTTAAGAATACTGTACCATATTTTGCCAAGCTAACAAGTTTATACATTTACAACTATGCTTCACTTGCTATTTGTGGACTAATCTGTGTATAGAAAGAAAAGCAGTATTTTTCATAACACAAAAAATCATAAAACCATCAGACTCATAGCTAGAAAATAAAAGTCCACCTTTCCCTTAACAGGCTGTTTACTGACTGGGCGGTCTCAGGGGGTATGCATTTCATATGGTTTGTAACAGCAGAGCAGACAAACAAGAACTTGACTATTTCAAGTACTAACTTTTCTATAAGTTGAAACTAATAGGAGCATTCTTTTAAATTTGATTTTTAAACGTTATATCCTTTTATAATTAAAGAAAACACTACATTAATGTCTGTCTTATCCTTTAGAGAAGTTAAAAAAAAAAAGCTTTTCTAAAAATTCAAATACCAGGCGCTACGGGCTACTCGAATCTACCCCTCCTCTGCATATATTGTGAGGGCAGAGACATCTCTAGCTAGCTAATGTAAGTCCCATGTCCAAAAAAGGAAATACTTGAATTTTTTGGCAGGACAGCTGATAGTACAAACTATTACATATTAAAGGAAATAATGATAAAGTAATATGATCAAAGGCCTCAATGACAAATCAATATACTCACCCAGGAGCAACCATGGCTTAATAATGCCAACTTGCAGGTCCAAGCTAAGATCCTGCACATAACCACAAGCACCCCCACTGCTCGGCTCTACTTCTTCCACAACATGAATGCTGGCATCTTTCCATGTTTCTATTATTTTCTTTCCAGTTAGCGTTGTCACCCTGGTGCATTGCTTCCTGAGATTATTCCGGGAGAATGCTTTAATTTCCTGGTTAAGGGAGTGCATTACATGAGCAATGACTAGGAACAAAAACAAGCAAATCCAGCCAGCACAGAAAAGGGGTGCACTGCCCGTCCCTTAATGCTCAGGTAACAAATGCAGCCTAAGGGTGCACCGCCCTCCAGTAACAATAGCAAAGAGCACCACCCGAGAAACTGACTTCCAGCTCCCTCTTTCCCAGTGCCGCAATGTAAGGCAAACTCTGATTGGCTCTTGAGAAACAGGCGCCGATTGGACGCGCTTTGGCCTACGGAAAACCTGCGTTTTACCTGTAGGTTCGAGGAATCCGCGGAAGTGCTTCCTTATTGGTGCTGTTTAAATCTAGGTTTATAAGGCTTAATTGGAGAGAGGGCTGGTATTTCCAAGCTCTTTAAAAGCAGTGATTTTCTATGTTTGGTGTCTGTTGTGGTAGGGAACAAGATGATACGAGCCTGCCTTGGTATTGAGCCTGTTTGGCTTAGCAGGGCAGACACAGTACAAACCTCCCTAGTTCCCGGAGCCACCCTGTCCGCCTGCTTTTAGGCTAATGGAAGGCAGGCCAGGGCGGGGGCGCGGTACCGCGCAGCGGCCGGGCAGGAGGTTCTACAGCAGACATTGAAAGTGACTTCTCACTTTTCTGCCCGTCACACTTTTTCTGCTGTTACTGCCCAGAGGAACGTTTTGTACATTTGTTAAATAACAATTTAAATAAAATCTGCAGAGATATTTTTCTTTTTTAAGTCTTTTCAGTGTTTCTGTATGCAGATTGACAAGAGTTTAAAACGTTTTTCTGACTTCCTACATTTTCACTCTCAGTAAAACTGCTGAAGAAGCCTTTTATGCAGTAAATGTATACACACACTGTAAGAAGCATTGCAGCAAGTCCTTCCACAGGGGTTCTGAAAGTCAAGTATGCATACACCCAAATTTACAAAACACCAATTATAGAATGATGATTCTGATTACAAAAGGATGATTTTTTTTTTCTGCAAAAGAAATCACAAGATTCCCTTGGGATTTTCTTTCCCCGCATTGCATTTAATGAAAACATCCTCCAACACCACATACTAAAATTTTTGTTAGGTTGAAACTGATGTGAAATTAAAATAAACCAAATTTCTCCCTATTGAAAAGAGTGATATATCAGCCCAGGCTATCTACAGGTCACTCTAAAATAATGAATTGAAAAATTTATTTGCATCATTTAAACAATCACAGGTTCATCAAAAATAACCTTAACCACAAATCATTCCGTATGTTTATCATAAATGAAAAAAATAACTACCAACTATTGAGCACTTACATGCTAGGTACTGTGCTTATAAGCAATTTTTAGATTGTCAGTGTTATCCATCTGGTGCTTAATGATGTTTTACAGACATTATCCCATTAGATTTCACCACAAAGCCTATATATATAGTAGTATATCATCTACATTTTACAATGGAAAAAATTCAGATGCAGATAGAACAAATAACATACCCTACATTTCCCAGGTCATAGTTTATAACCACAAATAATACTGAAGTTTGTTTCAGTCCAGTACCTTCGTTCTTATTTACTATGGGATACTATTCTGCTCCCAAAATAATTGTAGTTAACAAATATTTATTGAGTACCTGCTATATTATAGTTACTTGGGATATGGCAGTGAATAAAAAAAAGTCTTGTCTTTTGTGGAGTTTATATCCAAGCGAAGGGAGTGGATAAATAGACTATATGTATATTGATCTGTATATTATAGAAGAGATCCCTACTAGAGATATAAATTTTGTCATGATCAGCTAAAAGCTGCCATTTAAAACCACAAGCCTGAATGAGATGATCTAGTACTGAAAGTTGATGGTGAAGCCTGATGTGTGCCCTCATTTAGGGGTGAGGAAGACAAGGAGGATCCAGCAAGGGACACTGATGAGGAGAGGCCCAGGAGATGGGAAAGAGAGGTCTGAGAGTACAAATGAAGAAAGTGTTTCAAGAAGGACAGTGTGATCAGCTGTATCATATGCTGCTGATAGTGTTCAGTAAGATAAAAATTGAGCGCTAATACAGTATTTAAAGCCCCTCACAGCAAAACTGATTGTATGTCCCAGCATTATACAAATATCTGATTCAATCCTCATGACAACCCGATGAGGGAGATAATATCTTCTACATTTTTGAAGGAGACATTTTATTTGAAACATAAGGACCTAGTATTTGGTCACAGAGCTTGCATTTGTTTGTTATATTCTAGCAACAAGGATAGTTGAATAGAGTTCCTCTTACTCAAAAGCTTATTCCTTGCACCACATCACTCTATAAAGGATGGGTAGAATTGTTGGTTGCACATTAATAGCTGCAGTCCTTGCTGATAATACTGTATTACTAAGATGCCTGCAGTAAGTAGCACTGGGTATTAATACACTGATTCTATTCACTGAATCTATCCAACTCAGCTCTTCATTTTACAGAAGAGAAACCAAGGTTCAGAGAAGTAAACTGATTTGCCTGATGTCACATCACTTGTGACATATAGTAGAGTAGAACAGGTATCTATTGAGTCAGGAGACTGGGTCTCTTGTTCTACTTCATTGTATGGTTTTCCAAAAAGTCCTTTAAGGGCAAAACTTCTTTATACATATCTAGTCTGGGTGCAGAGGGATTGGGAGAGGCACCTCTTTCTCAGGTCTGGAGTTCTGACAGAAGAAAAAGAAGAGGCAACGTTTACGAGACCCAGGTCAGAGCGAGAAGGCAGCAAGCACTCCATCCATAAAGGAGACACTGCCTTTGCTGGGACATGACTGATAAAGGGTTGTCTTGAAAGAGGGGGCACATCCTTACAGGGGCTAAGGGGACCTAGATCTGAGGAAAGGGGGAAGCGTGAAGTGAATACATCCTGGCGTATGTTCCCATGCCACCCCTACGAATTTTTCTCTTCTAACAGTTTTAGAGTGTCTATACTAAGTGCTATACTAGTCATTTTCCAAGTATCACCTCTAAACCTCACAAAAACCTCACTTTTAGATAAACTAATTGAAATGCAAAAGGCTAGTAAACAGTAGATTCTGTACTCAACCTCAGCTCAGTTGGATCCCAAAGCCCACTTTCATCCCACTCCAGTGCACGTTCTGACAAATTACATCATAAAATAATTATGGGCGCATGTAATCTTCAATAATCCAGATATGGGTAAAAACATACATAACCAAAAATATATTTTGCATTAAAATTTTTGGCTTGAGTTAACAGTCTCAATTCGGCACTTCACTGAGAACATGCAGGCACAGCCTAAAATAAATACAGAAAAAAAAACCAAACTTCTCTCATGATTATGGCACTACTCCTTTATGAACTTTTTAAAGAAATTTCAAAAAAAATTAGTTCAATTAAACAAATCTGAATGCAAGTTTTCTTTATGAATACAGTGCCTCATATAAACTTGTTACTAGAACATTTTGATTTCACAACATTTTTTGCTTATGCATGCATAGTTATAGTAATAACACAAAAAAGAAGCAATAAAAACAGAAGCGGAGACTTTCTATATTTCCATTCAATATTAATTATTTGCTTGCCTATGGTGATATTTAAGGATTTCACATGGCCTAGGACAAATGAGATCTTTTCAAACCCTGGAGAAAAAGAACAAGTATAATTCAGAATTTAGAGTTCAATCCTTTATAATATACATGTTTTAAAAATAAGTAGGTCTCACATATTCATCTAATTCTTTTTTTCATCTTTTCTACCTCTCCTCAAAAAAACTAATCATTTTTGTTTTAATTTTTGAAATTAGTAACATGCCAGATAGGTTGGTTACCTTTATTGCAGACACTTCTGTGGTTCAAAACCATATAACTAGGAAATAAATCATCCAACGAGCATTTATGGAGTATCTGCAATGAACTTCACACTCCATCAGAGGCTGTAAAGTTACACTACAAATGGTATTTCATTGAACTTAAAATTATAAGGTACACCATTATGTCACTGCCAGTCAATAATATTGAAAATGTGCAATTCACAATTAATAAAATTCTTCTTTTAAAGGTTTTATTTATTTATTTTTAGAAAGAGGGGAAGGAAGGGAGAAGGAGAGGAAGAAAAACATTAACATAAAAGAGAAACATCTGTAAGTTGCCTGTCTTACGTGCCCCTGACTGGGGACCAAACCCGCAACCCAGGCATGTGCCCTTACCAGGAATCAAACTGGTAACATTTCACTTTGTGGGATGACGACGCTTCACCCATCTGAGACATACCGGTCATGGCAGGATTAGTAATATTCAACAACTAAAACTAGATTCTGATTTCCAAGAGCTTATTATTCCATTTGGGGGGAGGGAAAATCAGCCAAGAAAAATAAATTAAAGAATAAGAAAAACAGTATTACCAAAAACAAGGAAGTAAAAAACTATTTATATTGTGGGGAAAATTCTTAGCTGTAAAGAAAGTATATGTAGGGAATAAAACTTCCACAGTATGTTTCTCTGGAAATATTCTTGTAGATACTCTGTAAGAAGAAATATTAAAAGGTAAAATTACTAGAGCTATGCATATAAGAGCACCCATTCTTTTCAAACAATGGTTATTTGAAATGATATTAATTAATTTGGGATAAGACTAAATAGAGTGAAAAGAAATTCTTTTTCTGATCTCGGAAAGGTCTCTCCTTCTATGATAGTTAAGTCTTTTATTTTCCAACATATAACTTTAAAAGACCAGGATCGAAAGACTCAGATTTTTAAAGACTGGGACTTAATACAAACACATTGATAAATAAGCATTTAACAATAAAGAGAGTAAGGCATACTAGATTGATGAATTAGGGGAAAAATGCAAATTTCACAAAACTCTTAGTGCTGAAATTCTAAAAGACTGTGTGCAAGAGTAGTGAAGTAAAAGTCAGAATAAAGGTTATATCACCAGCTTTTTTGTCGACCTTAGATTTGGATTTTGTTAATTTTCAGTTGAAGAATTTATCTCAGCTCTAAAATAGCAACAAATGTAGAGAAGCTGGACATGACTATTTTTTATGAAAAGACTATGAAAGGTGATGTGCTATTTTATAGTTGTGCTTTTTCTGTACTTTTTAGCAATTATAGAGCATTTGTTGACTAATCAAATAAGAGAGCTGTCTTGGAGAAAAATAAAAACACATACTGGTTTTATTTGATGTACATTTCTGAAGTTTCTATAAAACAAATCAAGGTGCATGGCTTC